ATACTTGAACAAGAGCAAGAGGATGGGAGTTACAGGCCTATCTATTACGCCAGTCGCAAACTCAGTAAGGTTGAAAAACGATACTCACAGTTTGAAAGAGAAGCCTTAGCCGTCAGTTGGGCTTGCGAGAAGTTCCACCTGTACCCATATGGGATTAAGTTCGAGATCTGTACAGATCACAAACCCTTAGTGATAGTCCTCAGCCCAAAGTCCAAACCTCCATCAGCCCGAACACAGAGGTGGCTCCTTTATTTGCAGCAGTACCAGTACGAGTTGACTCACATTAGGGGAAAAGATAATGCAGCAGATGTTCTCAGCTGTCTCTCTGTTGGCCAGACCCAAGATGAAAGCACGAAAGATTTGCACACAGCGTTGCAAGAGAAGCTGTGCCGGCTGCATTAGTACCAAAGCAAGTAGTGATTGCCTTAGAAAATGACCCAACCTTGCAGCTAGTGCGCCAGGCCATTATCACCGGTGACTGGAACCGATTGTCAGGAACCATTTACAAAGCAGTACAAGATGAGCTGTGGCTGATAGGACAAACTGTGATGAGGAGAAATCGTATTAAGATGCCTGAGAACCTTTGGAAGCAAATCATTGTGCTGGCTCATGAAGGTCACCAGGGAATGGTCAGAACCAAGGCCAGATTGCGAGAGAAAGTGTGATGGCCTCAAATGGATTTATAAGCAGGTGGAAGAGTTGATACTAGCTTGTTATCCCAGCCAGCTTGTAGGACCAAGAGCCAAACCAGAACCTGTGAGATCGATAAAACTGCCTGAGGGACCGTGGCAAGATATTTCAATCGATCTCCTTGACATATCAGATGGCGAGCACCTCCTGGTAGTGGTGGATTACCGTTCCCGTTGGATGGAAGCTATCCTTCTGAAGAAAACAGATGCTCAACACGTGATTAAGTCTATGGAAGCTATCTTCAGAACACATGGATTACCAGGAACCGTCCGTAGCGATAATGGACCCCCATTCGGAGTGAAAGAGTTTGAAGCCTTCTTGGAATATCTGGGGATTGAACACAAGAAGGGTGTACCGTACTGGCCGCAAAGCAATGGAGAAGTGGAACGTTGCAATGAGACCCTTTTGAAAATTGTGCGGATTTCCCGACTTGAAGCGAGAGACTGGCGGAAGGCCCTTCAGGACTTTCCGTTTCAGTACAGAGTTACTCCATACACTGTTACTGGAATGTCCCCTGCAGAACTGCTTATGGGGAGGAAACTGCGAGACAAACTTCCTCAAGTTGAATTCTACAAAGAGCGAGCAACAGAGCCATATTAGCAGCAGCAGCTAAGAGAAAGAGATGCACGTGCGAAACTTCGACAAAAAGAATATGCGGACAAGACACGAGCAGCTAAATACAGTGACATTAAAGCAGAAGACAAAGTGTTATTGAAGCAGACGCTAGACGACAAGCTCCCGCCTAATTACGAGCTAGATCCGTCTGTTGTCACTCACAAGGATGGAAATGCTGTTCTCGTACGAGACGCCAATGGCAACAACGAAATGCGTAATGTAGCTCACATGAAGAAATTTGTTGAGCTCGTAACCATTGAAATGGAGGAATCGGACAAGCAAGAACACCCTGTGCAGACAGCAAAGCCAGAACAGTGCAGCCAGCCAGCAT